TCACACTTCCTAGAAAGCGCTCTCTCAGTCCATGTTGAACCACCTATTGAAATACTTTCTCATTATTTCAAAAGAGAACTGCCATTGGATGCAAGCTTTGGGTATTTAAGATATGCCAATTGATAATAATTATGGTTAAGTTTCCAATTTTCTTGATTTTTAGCTTTAGTCTGTTGGGCTTGAACCTAGAAAAATCAGAACTACTAAGTTGTACAATCCCAGGACAAAATGTTTATATTCAGCCTAAGCCAGTATGGAGTGAGTCCCTTGGAGATAGGCCTTGAATTCTTTACACTTATCCCTATTGTTGTACCTAGTGCGTTGTGTGTCTCACTATACCTTGCACTCTCTTAAGGGATACTGTTGGAAACTATGAGTATCTTGTTTCTATTCTCTTAGGTTACGGGACTTAGAAGGCATTGGCAAATCCCTGAAGTACTATAGAGATACTTATCACCCTTTAGATGATTGGATCCAGCAAGTTGAAACTACCCAGAGAAAAATTCAGGAAAATCAGCCTGAAAATAGTAAAACTCTAGCCACACAGTTGAATCAACAGAAGGTATGTAAAAACAGTTCCTTATGCTAAGGTTGTGCCTGCATTTGGTGAGTCATGACCCTTATCTTCCTTTACCTTGGTAAAAGAAAAAGCCAGCAACTATCTGGAGGAAGGCAAGGAGTAAATCATAAATATTAAAATCCTATAGTTCAAACTTACATCCATCACGTACTTTGATTTCTTGGAAGTCGTTTTTGAAAATATAAGGCATTAGAAAATAGCATGTTGGGACAGTGTTCAAATTTAATCACTTACTCATAAGTATGGTCATTAATCATTAGTATGGAAATCTCTTTGGCACTTTGGTGGCCACAATAGTTTTGCAGTATCTTAAATAAATAAAAATGGCTAGTGTCTGTAGAAAATTAAACAGCCACGTTTGACAGAGAATTGAATTCTTTGAGATTTCTGTTCCATCTTGAGGGGACAATAGTGTCCAGTTCCACTTTGATCAGGAATGGGGGGGGGGCAAGGCCTTCAAGTCCACTTTTGGATAATTCCTGGGGAGTTTAGTAATTTTTGCTTTGGAAGCCCCCTGAGGCTGGGTCACTTATGTGGCTTAATCTAGAAGTTTGTAATTTGCCTCACTACATACTAAGTACAAAGGACTAAAGAGCTTTATTATTAAAGGGTATGGTTATTTCTTAGTTCCTGAGCATTTTAGTAGTTAAATAGCATAGATTTCCTTGTTCTCTTTCTTCTAAACTCTATGTGTTTATAGATGCTGGTGTCCGAAATAGAAATGAAACAGAGCAAAATGGATGAGTGTCAAAAATATGCAGAACAGTACTCAACTACAGTGAAGGTAAGAAGATTCAGTTACTTGCATCAAGTTCAATGTTCAGGTATGTGATTCAACAAACTACTGAAGAAAAAAAAAGCCTCTGCAAATAATTTCACTGTGTTAAAAAGTAAAAACAGAGAATCTTCATTTGAACCCCGTGACACTTACCTAATAATTCTTTGTGACACGTGAGGCACACGTCCGCCTCGGGTTCATTCATTTTCTCCCAATCACACACGACACCCCGGAATAAATGCATAGCTCTGAAATTTTTTTTTTATCATTTTGTGCATGTTTGTGTATGTTCTGTCTCTCTCTTTCTCTCTCTCTGTCTGTCTCTTCTTTACTATTGCTAGAATATTCCCTGGAAGAGCTTGGCTTTCTTAGGAGACAGTTCCCATGTGTTTTGAAGCTGTTGACAATGCCTGGGCTTTAGCCATCAGACCTACCCTTCCATTGCCCAGCCAGAGGAAAGGGAGGCTGAATATAACTAGCATATTGTAACTAAATGTTCCCATGAACTTCTAAAGAGACCTAAGAAACTTTTCTGATCACCCTAAGTGTTTATTTTTATTACCACCTTGGAAACATTCCAGGATTAGGTAGATTCCTAAAAGTGTAGTTTTGCAGTAATTTCGTAATGTTGCTCAGTGAAACTAGGTTCCATTTCTCTGTATCGAGTCACTGAGTCACTGTAGAATGAAGTGTTAATGCTTTGCTTTAAATAATTTAGTCTTATTGACTCCATTATACAGGACTATGAATTACAAACAATGACCTACCGGGCCATGGTAGATTCACAACAAAAATCTCCAGTGAAACGCCGAAGAATGCAGAGCTCAGCAGATCTTATTATTCAAGAGGTAGTAAAAGCATGAAAGAAGGGAGGGGACATAAAAGAGAGAAACACTACTGAAAGAATTATAATTATCTATTTGTATTGTAGTAGAATACATATAATAGGAAATGTACCATTTTAACCATTTTTAAGTGTGCAGTTCAGTGGCACTCAGTATATTCACAGTGCTTTGCAAACATGACCACTGCCCGTTTCCAGAACTTTTTTCCTTGTCCCAAAAAAGAAACTCTCTACCTAAAACAGTACATTTTATTAAGGGTTCTAGAAAATCCTTCGAAAAGCTTTATTCCAAGATTAAGTATTAATTACAGAGAATTATAAATGTACGTCATCATTACATTTAGAGGAGAATTGTCATGTAGTATGGTTTGCACAACAGTAAGAAGCTCATTCCTGCCTACTTACCACTATTGGGCAGTTGTGTATTTTACTGCCACAAAGCCTAGTTAATGTTATAATTATTAATCAACATTCATTAAACTCACTTAGAGCCACTGGAGATTGTGTTTTTATTATTTATTTCATTATTTGCAGTTCATGGACCTAAGGACCCGATATACTGCTCTGGTCACCCTCATGACACAATATATTAAATTTGCTGGTGATTCATTAAAGAGGCTGGAAGAGGAGGAGGTAACCATTAACTATGAACAGCTAACTAAAAGGAACTATAATATTTTTGGGAAAACAAAAAAAAAAAGTGTACATGGTTGAGAAGTAATTATTTAATTAGAAAATCACAATGAGAAAGAGTAGAGGCCTAAGATTTTTTGGTTTGTTTCTAAGATTCTCTCAAATAGGGAAGACATTGTTGATCTTCACTCTAAGATGCTAATATTATTAGAGTAATGGCTCTATTTAAATTATGGAATGTTGGTAGTTTGGCAGAATTTTTTAAATTTTTTCTCACATTTGAGAAGTATACTTCTTTGAAGTATAGTTACTACTGTTAAAATGTCTACAGAAATACTACTTAAACACATTTCTCTTAAGCATTTTAAAGTGATTTACATCTTTAAGGATTTAAAACATAAAATCAATTAATTTAGAAGAAACGTTTTTGCACAAAATGATACTACTTTTTAAGAATTGTGGAGGTTTTTATTTTGATTTTTCCTAAAGGTCTATGGTGAATGGTAAAAAGACTAAGTACCATTCTAATTTGGAGGATTTCTGTGTTTTTATTCTACATTCACAAAATATATTCAGAAGTAGAGCAAGCAGTTGATGAAAATACATTGTCATAAAAGGCTGTTGTATCTAATTTTGAAGGGATAATGCTATGCTTTATTATCTTAATATGTTTTCTATGCCTAACCTCAGAACAGACAAAAATAGTAGACAGAATGCTAAAGTAAATAAATTGCGAGGCATTAGCTGTTTTAAATTAGGCTGTTGATAATTCTGAAGATGATTATACTTAATGTTAACACTTCTTATAATGAGAGAATGTAAATGGTAGTGAATGTCTAATAGATGTTACTTTATTTTCTACTATTTTAGTCTGTTCAGAGTTAACAGTTTTCTGCAACTAATTCACTAACGTAGCTAATTGCAAGTCTTTATAACTAGATTTCTTTGCACTTAGAAAGGAGAACCAGAATATTTGTGACCAAATAATCAGTATACATCTCTCATCAGTGAAAGAACATCTATAATTTTTTTTTACCTTTTTAGATTTTGAGAGATATGATTCCACTTAAAATGATATGTAGATCTTTTAGATTGCATATTTAGTAGTTAAATATAAGTCCTTTTCCTTTCTTAATAGTGTATATGTGATTTGCACATACATGAGCCACTTTGCTTAGTTTATCTGATGAGGTATAATACTAGAAGTTGATAGAACCAAAAAATATTTCAGAAAGCCTGAGATAATATACAAATTAGGCTTGTCATCTTTTGAAATGTAAAAGATTCGTATTGGATTGAAAGTCAAAACAATAGAATTTATGGAGGACCATGCAGGGACTGTAACTCAAAATAGATAGAACACATTCCTGATTAAAAATTCACCAATAAAGGATCATATTAATGCAGTGTCTTATAAAAGATATGTAGTTCGGTTTTCAGACCCAGGAAACAGTCTGCAAAGACCTACATTGGATGTCTTGGTCTGATAGCAGAATTTTTTAAATAATAAACATAAAATCAAAGAGGGATACAAGTTAATTTCAAAAGATGAAACCCAATTAAAGAAATGTTAGTGGAGTATAATGGGTATTAGATGGATAAAGAGATTTTCTAATCTGTGTTGAGAGAAAAACATATCAAGCATTAATTGATGGGATTAAAGGACAGCATGTCCTTTCTGACTTTTCATTTTTCTAACCTCAGAACATGACAGAAGAAAAAAACAGCTCAAAACCTCTTAGCAACAGCTAAGTTTTAAAAGATTTTGATAAGGAATTGAGATGAAAAAAAAACAAAACAAAACAGAAATCACCTCAAAAAAAATCTGAAAATTTGATATTTAAACAGGTAGCATGATTCAGTGTCACCAGTTGATCCTGATAACAAAATAAAATAGAGCACTAATTTTTGCAGGTTGTGATGAGATTTGTTTTTATATTCATTCTTATTAGGAGAAACCATATTTAGGTTAGCAGGAAACAACTGATATTCTTGTCAAAATTATTGGGGATCAAAAATTAGAAGAAGTGGTATAAGATGTGTGGTCTATGATGTAAATTAAATTCTTAAAATTCACCAAAGCCTCTCAAAGAAAAAAAAAATCTGCTACCTAGAAAAATTTTTCTACTCCTGTTTAAATTGTTTCTAATTATGATAATTTTGAGTTAGTGATATGAAACTAATAGTCTTATGGTATTAATAAAGAGAAATTAAATTGGAATTATATACTAGCCCTGATCATGTAGTCCTGTAGTCAATGTAGAATGTATTCCTCCTAGCTGAGACTGATTCTTCTATCATTTGAAAAATAATTTTTTTTATTCTATACATTGGAGCTGACTCCCTAATTATATTTTTAAAAGCATTTGTATTTAACAAATATCTTTATATTTATGGAGTATCTAAAGGAACTTGTCAAGGTGGATTCATATGAGACATGTCATTAACAACAACAACAAAATCTGTGAGTATATGAAGCACATCTTTTCTAAAGGGACTATAGCTGCCTTTGCATTAGCAACTCTGATTATTATAATTCTCATAATATGGCAAGTATAAACAAATAAGGAATTTGGCTTGAGAAATTACAAGTTTTTATATAATTTTCCTCCTTCCCCATGTTAAGTATTATTTCTTGTTTTGACTCTTTAAAGTAGTACCAAAACTCCATATTTCGTTTCTTTAACCATAAAACAGAGAGATGTAAATACCATTTTAAATTTCCATTGGGTGACATATTGAAAACTAAATTTTTAATTGTCATTCGGTTCCTTTATGTTCTTAGCTTGTAGGACTAAGTTGTGAGTGAAAGCTGAAAGGGCGCTGTTGTGAGTCTTACTTCCCACTTTGTCACTCACCTGTTGTGAGGGTTTTCAAAAGTATTTGACCTCCCTGCACCTCAGTGTCCTCATCTGTAAAAGGTTGGGGTCATGCTGTATGTTTTGTGAGGTCCCTCCTTTCTTGCTGTAAAATCTTGAGCCTAGCTAATTTTTAAAATGAAATTGTTCTTGAGAGACAAGAAAAGATTCTTTGGGTTAGCAAACCTGACATGAAGGATTTTTTTTTTTCGCTTTTCCCATTGCCAGCTTTCTGAAGCTTCCTCTCTGGAAGGTGGTGGTGGTGCTTGTTCTGCGATTTGTTTCCCTTGTTTTTATAAGTACTTTTATGAGCATTGCTTCAGGTTTTTGTGGATAAATTTGAATAGAACACTTTGACACTTTTAAACATCTCTTGTAGATTAAAAAGTGTAAGGAGACTTCTGAACATGGGGCATATTCAGATCTGCTTCAGCGTCAAAAGGCAACAATGATTGAGAATAGCAAACTTACGGGAAAGATAAGTGAATTGGAGAGAATGGTAGCTGAACTAAAGAAGCAGAAGTCTCGAGCAGAGGAAGAACTTCCAAAGGTCAAGGAGGCTGCAGAAAATGAATTGAGAAAGCAGCAGAGAAACGTAGAAGACATTGCTCTGCAGAAAATCAGGGCCGAGAGTGAGGCCAAGCAGTACCGCAGGGAGCTGGAGACCATTGTGAGGGAGAAGGAGGCTGCAGAACGGGAGCTGGAGCGGGTGCGAAGGCTCACCCTGGAGGCCGAGGCCAAGAGGGCAGCGGTGGAAGAAAACCTCCTGAACTTCCGGAACCAGTTAGAGGAGAACACCTTCACCAGGAGGACCCTGGAAGATCATCTTAAAAGAAAAGATTCGAGTCTCAATGACCTGGAACAACAAAAAAATAAATTGATGGAAGAATTGAGAAGAAAGAGAGACAACGAGGAGGAACTCTTGAAGCTGATAAAGCAGATGGAAAAAGACCTAACATTTCAAAAACAGATAGCAGAGGAACAGTTGAAAGAAAAGCAGAAAATTGAACGGGAAGCGAGAAGAAGAATAACTGAAATGCAGTATTCGTGTAGAGAAAACACGTTGCCTGCCTGTGCGGTTGCCCAGGCTACGTCATACAGGGGAACAGCAGACAAACAGAAAACAGAAGAACTCAAACAGCAGGTAGATGAGCTAACTGTCGCCAATAGAAAGGCCGAAAAAGACATGAGAGAGCTGAAGTACGAACTCAGTGCCCTTCAACTTGAAAAAACTTCATCTGAGGAAAAGGCTCGTTTGCTAAAAGAAAAACTGGATGAAACAAATAATACGCTGAAGTGCCTGAAGTTAGAGTTGGAAAGGAAGGATCAGGTGGAGGAAGGGTATTCTCAACAGCTCAGAGAACTTAGTAGGCAGTTGAACCAAACCACAGACAAAGCTGAAGAAGTTTTGCAGGAAGCTAATGATCTTAAGAAAATAAAGCACAATTATGAACTGGAATTAGAATGTCTTCAGCAGGAAAAAGGGAAGCTGCAAAGAGAAGTAGACAGGATCACTAGGACCCGTGCTGTAGCGGAGAGAGATATTCAGCATTTAAATTCACAAGTGAATTCTCTTCAGGCTGAGAAGGAATCCTCTAATGAAAGAGTACGATTCTGCCAGAGAGAGTCGGATCATCTAAAAGAACAGTTTGAGAAAAGCCATGCACAGTTGCTCCAAAACATTAAAGCTGAAAAAGAAAATAATGATAAGATCCAGAAGCTTAATGAAGAATTGAAGAAAAGTAATGAGTGTGCAGAAACGCTAAAACAAAAGGTCGATGAGCTCACGAGGCAGAATAATGAAACCAAGTTAATGATGCAGAGAATTCAGGCCGAATCGGCGAATGTGGTTTTAGAGAAACAGGCTATCCAGCAAAGATGTGAGGCCCTGAAAATTCAGGCAGATGGTTTTAGAGATCAGCTACGCAACACAAACGAACACTTGCATAAGCAGACAAAAACAGAACAGGATTTCCATAGAAAAATTAAATGCCTCGAAGAAGACCTGGCCAAAAGTCAAAATTTAGTCAGTGAATTTAAGCAAAAGTGTGACCAGCAGAATATTATCATCCAGAATACTGAGAAGGAGGTTAGAAACCTGAGTGCAGAGCTGACCGCTTCCAAAGAGGAGAAGCGACGAGGGGAGCAGAAGGTACAGCTGCAGCAGGCTCAGGTGCAGGAGTTAAATAACAGGTTGAAACAGGTACAAGACGAGCTGCACTTAAAGACCATAGAGGAGCAGATGACCCACAGAAAGATGCTTCTGTTTCAGGAGGAATCTGACAAGTTCAAACGCTCAGCAGAGGAGTTTCGGAAAAAGATGGAAAAGTTAATGGACTCCAAAGTTATCACTGAAAAGGATATCTCAGGCATCCAGCTTGACTTTGTATCTCTCCAGCAAGAAAACTGCAGGGCTCAAGAGAACGCCAAGCTGTGTGAGACAAATATTAGAGAACTTGAAAGACAGCTTCAGCAGTATCGTGAGCAAATGCAACGAGGGCAGAATGTGGAAGCAAATCATTACCAAAAGTGCCGGAAACTTGAAGATGAGCTGGTAGCCCAGAAACGTGAAGTTGAACGCCTGAAGCAAAAGATGGATCAACAGATAAAGGAACACGAGCATCAGTTAGTTTTGCTCCAGTGTGAAATCCAAAAAAAGAACCCAGCCAAAGACTGTACCTTCAAACCGGATTTTGAGATGGCAGTAAAGGAGTGTCAGCACACCGGAGAACTGTCCTGTAGGAACACGGGGCAGCTTCGCCCAGCGACCAGATCTCCATTGCTGAGAAGGACGCGAGAGTCACAGCAATCAGAGGAAAAATGGCAACATCGGGTTGTTGACCAGATACCAAAGGAAGTCCAATTCTGGCCATCAGGGGCACCGCTTGAGAAAGAGAAAAGCCAGCAGTGTTACTCTGAGTATTTTTCGCAGACAAGCACTGAATTACAGATAACTTTCGATGAGGCAAACCCTATTACAAAACTGTCAGAAATCGAGAAGATAAGAGATGAAGCTCTGTACAATTCCAGGCCACCGGTTAGGTATCAGGATGACAAATGTGCAATGGACCTGGCGAAGCTTTTGGCCCCCTTAGAGGTATACTCTGGATTCCGAGACCTTATCAGCTACCTCATGTCAAGTTTCCTCTTGTGTTTTCTTTCTCTGCTACACTAAATTTTTTTTAATAACATTGAGCAAGATTGGCCCTTTGTAGTTCTGGCAGAAACTAATGCTATCATTTTCTAGTGATTGACTTGAATCTTTACTACAAATTATCATTCTTTAGTTTTTAAATGTTTGAGATCAAATACACAGATGTAATAGTTATACTGTGACATCTATGGTATTATATTCTGATGGACATTTTTTTCTTGAATGTTTATTTTGAGAAAGAGAGCAAGTGTACACATGCGTGAGCAGGGGAGGGGCAGAGAGAGGGGGGAGAGAGACAATTTCAATCAGGCTTCATGCTATCAGCACAGAGTCGGCCCCAGGGCTCAGCCTCTGGAACCATGGGGTCATGACCTGAGCTGAAACCAAGAGTCGGACGACTGAGTCACCCAGGCACCCCTGAAGAATGTTTTTTTGTTTGTTTTAAAAGCTAGGAAAACCAAGAAGTTCACTTTAATTTCTAACAGTTTCTGGGGACACATTTCATCTTTTTTAAACATTTCATTTTTTTAAGATTTTATTTTTAAGTAATCTCGATATCCAGTGTGGGGCTCGAACTTAAAACCCCAAGATCAAGAGTCACACACTCTACTGACTGAGCCAGCCAGGTGTCCCTAAACATACCATTTTAACACCTTTATTGTCATCCAGGTAAACCTCACACTCTCAAAATAATATTACTTGTCCCTGAACCCTCTTTGTTTTGAAAATTTTCTTCTCTTTACTTATTTTTGTTATTGTAGGAAGTATATTTGGATTAAGGATGGGTAAAGTGACGTCACGTTCTTTAGATGGCCTTTAACGTCTCATGAATTCCTGTTACAGATAGCTAAGAGCAAGCAGTATGATATGCACACAGAAGTCACCACATTAAAACAAGAAAAGAACCCAGGTCCCAGTGCTGAAGAATGGACGCTGGAAGGGTGCAGAGCATCCGGTGGACTCCAGAGAGAGTTTATTAAGAAAGGCTCAGAACGAGAGACCTTCCAGAATTTGGATGGCGATCACGTGTGTTCAGTTAGGGACGATGAATTTAAATTCCAAGGTCTCCGGCACACTGTGACCGCCAGGCAGTTGGTTGAAGCTAAGCTTCTGGACATGAAAACAGTAGAGCAGCTGCGACTTGGTCTCAAGACCGTTGGCGAAGTTCAGAAAACTCTTAGCAAGTTTTTGACGAGAGCCACCTCAATTGCAGGGCTTTATCTAGAATCCACAAAAGAAAAGATTTCATTTGCCTCGGCAGCCAAGAACATCATAATAGACAAAATGATGGCTTTAGCATTTTTAGAAGCTCAAGCCGCAACAGGCTTTATCATCAATCCCATTTCAGGTCAGACCTACTCTGTTGAAGATGCGATCCTTGAAGGAGTTATTGACCCCGAATTCAAAATTAGACTCCTTGAGGCAGAGAAGGCAGCCCTGGGGTATTCATATTCTTCTAAGACATTGTCAGTGTTCCAAGCTATGGAAAATAGAATGCTTGACAGACAAAAAGGTAAACATATGTTGGAGGCCCAGATTGCCAGTGGGGGCGTCATTGACCCTGTGAGAGGCATCCGCGTTCCTCCCGAAGTTGCTGTGCAGCAAGGCTTGTTAAATAATGCCATCCTCCAATTTTTACACGAGCCATCCAGCAACACGAGAGTTTTTCCTAATCCCAATAACAAGCAAGCTCTCTATTACTCAGAACTACTGCGGATGTGTGTGTTTGATGTAGATTGCCAGTGCTTTCTGTTTCCCTTCGGGGAGAGGAGCATTTCCAATCTCAATGTAGGGAAGACCCATAGGATTTCTGTAGTAGATATTAAAACAGGAGCAGAACTGACTGCATATGAGGCTTTCCAGAGAAACCTAATTGACAAAAGTACCTATCTTGAGCTTTCAGGGCAACAGTATCAGTGGAAGGAAGCCACGTTTTTTGAATCTTATGGGCATCCTTCTCATATGCTGACCGATACTAAAACAGGATTACAGTTCAATATCAATGAGGCTATGGAGCAGGGAACAGTTGACAAAGCCTTGGTCAAAAAGTACCAGGAAGGGCTCATCACACTTACAGAACTTGCCGACTCCCTGCTGAGCCGGCTGGTTCCCAAGAAGGATTTGCACAGTCCTATTGCGGGGTACTGGCTGACCACTACTGGGGAAAGGATCTCTGTCCTAAAGGCCTCCCGCAGAAATTTGGTCGACCGGATTACTGCCCTCAGATGCCTTGAAGCCCAAGTCAGCACAGGGGGCATAATTGATCCTCTCACCGGCAAAAAGTACCGAGTGGCAGAAGCTTTGCACAGAGGCCTTGTTGATGAGGGGTTTGCCCAGCAGCTGCGACAGTGTGACTTAGTAATCACGGGGATCGGCCATCCCGTTACTAACAAAGTGATGTCAGTGGCGGAGGCTGTGAATGCAAATATCATCAGTAAGGAAATGGGAATGAGATGTTTGGAATTCCAGTACTTGACCGGGGGGTTGATAGAGCCCCAGGTTCATTCCCGGCTGTCACTAGAAGAGGCTCTGCAAGTGGGTATTATAGATGTTTTCATTGCTACGAAACTCAAAGATCAAAAGTCCCAGGTCAGAAATATAATATGCCCTCAAACAAAAAGAAAGTTGACATACAAAGAAGCTTTAGAAAAAGCTGATTTTGATTTTCACACAGGACTTAAACTCTTAGAAGTATCTGAACCTTTAATGACGGGAATTTCTAGCCTTTACTATTCTTCATAATAGCATGTGTTTAAGTAACTGTGCATGGGGGTGATGCTGTCTACTTCATATCTGTCCAGAGCATGACGACATGAGTTAAATAGTCTAGCAACTATGTCACATACTCAAAAGGGCTGTTTATTTCTTGAGGGCTGGAAATGGCTGACTGTTCAGAAGAGAATAATTTTTAAATTGAGAGTCACAAAATATTTACTCTTCTTCAAAATGGTTTCCTTTGGCTTTTAGGTTAGTCTTGTCTACCCCCCCCCAAAAAAGGTATTTTATCTAGAATATGGGGTACACTTGATGAACTCCAGCAAGTTCATAGCATCCTTTTTTCAGAATTCCTCGTCACTGAATAGATCCAGCCTGAGGTTAGGGCTCCCATTTGTTAAGTGATCCATTACACTCATTGAAAGAGCACCTCAAAAAGCACCATAGAATCAAAGAGAAAGATGTAAATTTGTTCCCACATCCCTGAAGCTATTGTGTTTCAGATGGCCTTGAAAAGTGAAAAAGTTTTTAATTTTTCTGTACACTGTAACTTTCTTTACATATTAAATGTTTACCACAATCTCCCATATCCAGGTGGACTCTGTAATTAAAAGTAACATTGTGTGTTGGAAAAGGGGGAAAGATTTTTCTTCATTCTGTGTATTTTTCATATGTGTGTACACATTCACGCCTCTTTCAGCTTTCACTTGTTTGATACTTTTCTGTGAAGACAATTGTGATTGTAATGCGAATGCAAAGGCAGCAGCAATTCAAAGATCTTCTAGTGCTTCATGAATAAAATTGAGTTTATTTGTCATATTGGTAGACCAGCTGGGAGTTTAGACTGATGATTATAGAATGTCACAGCTTCCTTTGCCACCATAAACATTTTGGAAGTACATCTGCTATGTGATGTGATAAACATGGTTAAGGAAATGAATAAAATACTCAGTAACCTGGTGTGATGAAAAAATATTTCTACATTCTTGTTTTCTGCGGAGAGGTCAGTTTCAGAGCTCAATCATTTACTGGAATATATTTTTTTTTTTTACCACTCACACTTGTCAGAAGTCACTGGAAGAAGAAAAGAAAGAACATGTTGAAAAAGCCAAAGAATTACAGAAATGGGTATCAAATATCACCAAGACATTGAGAGATGACGAGAAGGCTGGAAAATCTCCCTTCTCTAAGCAAAAGGTATTCACTGAGGTTCTGGTTTAATCATAATAATGGTAGAATTTACTGAGTTGAAGCAGTCAAACTAAAAAAACCACTTTAGTTCTTTACCTTAATTTTCCCCAATTTTATAGGCAATTACAATGATGGCCAGAGAGGTTAAACTTGCCCAAGGAATTACAGTATGCAGCAGAAGAGGTGTCTCTGATTCCAAAGCCTGAACTACATCTATTAGTCTTACTATTAGTGCTTCTTCTAATGGTTAGATCTGCTTCTTGATTATAGTGAAGAGAGTCGCTAAGGAGCAGAGTCATCCTATTTTGTGCCCAGATTAAATCCATGCACTCCTTATCATAAAGATGTGGTCTCGTTCTCACAAAGGTTAGCAAAAAGGTTCAGGAACAACGAATACAAACTAGGATATCAACATTTTTGAGGATTTAATTTAGCTGTGCTTTGTATTTTACAAAGAAGTGTTCTCTAGTCAGTCACTGGAAATTCTAGATTATTTCCCGCACCTAAATGAATTCTTCTGTGCTGTGGGCTGTATTCTCCAGCTGCTCAGCACTAGTTGGATAGCTGCAGCTTGTGAGATGTTAGTGCTCCGTGATGGCTGTTGGAAGGTGCTACTTGAATCTCTCAGGGCATCAATAGCTAAGGTCCAGTGTTGATGATGCTGGCCTTGACACCGGAATTGGGGCTGTATTTAAAAAAAAAAAAAAAAAAAAAAAAAAGTTTCCACTAAGTTAAGCAGCATTTTTCTCAACTTGCCCTCCTGCCGCTGCCTGACCCTAGGAAATGATGGGGCTCTCATTAGCTTCCTCTTCTAGCTTTGCATCAGTGTTCAGTTGTCATCAGTTGAAACAGACATTATTGACATAATTAAATAGAAAACTTCAGTGTCTTGTCTAATTTTGCCTGTGATACGAGGGCAGATGTAACTTATCTGGGGTTCCCCTTAGAGAAGTATATAGACCCAAGTATATACTTGGATTAGTATTCAACTGAAATAAAGCCATATTAGCTCATAGTCTTACATACTGTATTTCATATTAGTGTGGAAGAAATCAGAAGTTGGCAAGCAATTACATTTGGTGTCTGAAACCCCAAACCGTCAAAGCAACTTTATACAAATATTTAGCTTAAACTATTTTTCTCCTTTTCCCCCCATCAGAGAAAGAACTAAAATATGAACATAAACCTTAGCAAGGATTTCTTGGGGGAACAAGTTTCTTTTGAGAAATGTGGATGATAAACCTTGGTATTTTCTTATTCTGCACTTTTAAATTGCCCAAAACTTCACTAAATTCGTTTTACTAGATCTAGTGGACACTTTTTAAATGCAGATCATGCCCTAAATCCTACATCTCTAATAAAGATTGCCTTGTGTCAAGTGAAATTTAAGAAAATTTGATGTGAGTAATAAATGTGTGTATTAAAAATCAGTATGGACTCATGATTACCTGTAATCATGAAAAAAACAGACTTTAAGTTGACTTTGTTCTGAATAGAGTACATTGGGAGAAAATAGACTTTTCATTTGCCCATCATTTCCTCTCATTTCTGCTTGTTTAAAAGAGTGGCAGTCCATTTCTGAAAGTATTCAGAAGTAATACACTACGTAATTGGGAAAAAATGTTACAACTTCTTGCTTTTCGCTAAACAGATACATTTTATTCCTCTTTCATAGATGAATTTTGCAAAGTTTAGAAATCGAAAATATTTACTCTTGGTCTGCATATCTACAGATTAATGCTTTCACCATAATTTTTTCAAAAAGAGCAGGGTATACAAGAGCATGGGAGAAAGAAGACACTCTTTTGGAGTAGTGTTCCACGTTCATGTATCTTTTTGATGCAAGGATGATGTTGGGCCAATGGAAAATCTCTGGCCACTTGGGATGTTAAGGCAACCTTTATTCACTGTTGGGCTGTGACAAATGCGACAACCATATGATGTAGTAGTATTATTGCCTATGAAAATGATGACATTATGGTTAGAGAGAGAGACTTTCCCTAATTGGCATTCTAAATAAAGTACTCTTCTTATTCAGGCCTGTACACTGGTAATCACTGATCGGTTATTGATTTGTGCCACCCAGAAAGTAGTCCCTTCATCTGGATCTTAATTAAAATTTGATTAATGTTTAAAAATTACTATTTTCTAGTCTTGATGAGGGGGAGAGTTTGAGCATGTTTTCTTAACCTTGCAGATTTCCAGTGAAGAAATATCAACTAAGAAGGAACAATTATCTGAAGCTCTTCAAACCATGCAGCTGTTTTTGGCAAAACATGGAGACAAGTATGTTGGTTTTTATTAGCTCTTTTATTCAAAATAGAGAAGTGATGTTAATGTTCAACAGAGCAAAAGCTGATAAATTTTAATTGAGATTTAAAAAATGGAAGTCAATTAGAAATTTACTTAATATAATAACATGCAACTATAAACTTAGCAATTTAATTGTCACTTTTAGTCACGTCTAGTTTTTACCAAAACCCTGAAATGTACCTATTATTCCCAGATATTAGTGAGAAGAAAATGAGTTCAGGGAGATTAAAGATCAGTAGCTAGTGAGTAGTAAAGATTCTAAGGCAAGAGTAATTCTAAGTAGTATTCTCTGTGACTTTACTTTTCGGAAAATGTGTGTGGATATATTGTTCACTTTCTTTGCTGAGACTTGCAGCAACCTGATTTTGCATAGTTTGGTCCCACTTTTTCCAAAAGAGCACTTCATTTATTTCAGCTAGTGCCTCAGGCAGGGAAGAAATCTACCCTTTTCTTAAATCCTTTTTGGGGCTGTCCCCAGGATCATTCCACAATGACTTTGTATTGTACCTTAGAGAATCAAGTTAATCTCCTTGTAAATTTTTTATCTTTATTCATACTTCAGCCTGAACAAGTTTCATCTTGAGTAATGGTATCTTTCTGTCCCATTTCTGTGTTAAACTAACAGTAGGATATTTCCCTCTGTCGGATAACAGCAATTGTTATTTTAGGAATGTGTATATGCTGGAGAAGTGCTGATCTATTAATTCATATCCTTTCCTCCAGTCTGTTTCTCAGGCAAGAGAAGGATTCCTGGATGTGTAAGGGCCATTCTTAATTTTCATACACAGTCATTCTGAGACTTGAGCAATCTGTATCTGAGGGTTTATTTTATGACCACGTGCTTATTTAGAAAAGGATTCTACTTTGCAAAATCATTGAGCCTATTATGTCATCTTCATCACTTGAAGCCTTGCATTCCTTTTTTCATACTTTCTGGTTATTTTAGAATGACAGATGAAGAAAGAAATGAATTGGAAAAACAAGTGAAATCTCTTCAAGAAAGTTATAATTCATTCTTCAGTGAATCTCTGAAACAACTACAAGAATCACAAACCTTAGGAGATACAAAGGTAGAGGAGAAGGTAATATAATTTTTTTAAAACACGATGCTCTTTCAAGATTCTTAGCTTTACTGCATGGTTGTAGAAATATATGTCAATGAGGAAGAAATGACCTTGAATTTGTGTACATGGAAAAAACATGAATGGAATTTATCTAACTATTTAGAGATCTTAGTGTTGTGTATTAAATGCAGTCCTACACTTGCTGTCATCAGTTTCTGTGACATCTTAATCTCTGCCTTGCATGGTAAAAGAAAAGAATCATTCATTTTTCTAACTCTTCTCTTTAAAAGCCATTCGTCTGCTATATTAGGTATTTTACTATGTATAAAGTAACCTGGAGTCATCTCTAAAGATGACATTAGAATGTTAGGAACTTTTTTGATTTTTAGAGATAACCATGAGATTTATTTGAGCGAAACTGGGCCATTTGCCATGGTGAGGATGCCCTAGCATCTTCTTACAATATAACAGAAATTGCTTAAAATTTGGCCTGTCCTTAAACTTTTGAAACGTGACAATACATATTCACAATTTGCAACACAATATTCGGTATTGAAAAAGTTATCTTTATATTCAATTTCCTTACTCCCTGGAATACTTTACACACTACTTGTCACATTTTGGGGGTATGTAACAATTTTTCTGGTTCATTTTTACTGTCTGCGAACAAGGTCTGTATGCTGTAAACATCAATAGCATGGGGTTTGATACTCTCTTTCATGTCAGTCGACTAATCTCACCCAGTTGCAGAGAGCATGATTTGCCTTCTTAGGTATGTGTTCTGTTTTCTCACTATCATCATTTACTCTGTTGTGTCCTCACTAACCTTGTTAATGTACACAATATTAAGTTTTCAATTCACAGATGCATGTTGTTTTCAAAGCTTTTATCACATCCTGTGCTGTTGAATAGATCACTGACATAGATCACTTGTGCATTTGAGCTGCCTAACATTCACAGCATTGCTGCGCCTTGGTAAGTAGAGGATTTTCATGTTGAAGTGTATTATTTATTAAAAAAAAATGCCAACTAAGTTTCATGAAATTCTGCCCACCCTTGGCTCACACACTGACCTGAGAATTTTGTATTTTCCTTTCAGCTGGCTAAAGTGATTGCAGGCACCATTGATGAGACAACTGGAGAAGTCCTGTCAGTCTTTCAGGCAGTTTTAAGAGGCCTTATTGACTATGACACAGGAATCAGGTTGCTTGAGACACAGCTGATGATTTCTGGTCTGATTTCACCAGAATTAAGAAAATGCTTTGACCTCCAAGATGCCGAAAGTCATGGCCTTATTGATGAACAAGTTTTATGCCAACTCAAAGAACTAAATCAAGCAAAGGAGATCATTTCCACCATGTCATCTACCACAATTCCAGTTCTGGAAGCTTTGGCTCAAGGCATGATATCAGAATCTATGGCCATCAGAGTGCTTGAGATACTACTTTCCACTGGCTTTCTAGTTATTCCAGCCACTGGAGAACAGCTGACCCTACAGAAGGCTTTCCAACAGAACTTGGTTTCTTCAGCGTTATTTTCTAAAGTCCTGGAGAGGCAAAATATGTGTAAGGATCTTATTGACCCCTGCACCGCTGAGAAGGTGTCTTTAGTAGATATTATACAGAGAAGTATTTTACAGGAAAACACTGGGATGCGGCTTCTACCTGTGAGACCACAAGAAGGAGGTAGAATAACATTAAAATGTGGAAGAAACATAAGCATTTTAAGGGCGGCTCATGAAGGTCTCATAGACCGGGAAACCATGTTTAGGTTATTAGGCGCACAGCTGCTTTCTGGAGGTCTGATCAATTGCAATTCTGGTCAGAGAATGACTGTTGAAGAAGCTTTGATGGAAGGGGTGATTGACAGAGACACGGCTAACAGTATTCTCACATATCAGGTTCAAACAGGTGGAATCATCCACTCAAATCCTGCTAAACGTTTAACCGTGGATGAAGCGGTCCAGTGTGATCTCATAACTTCGAGCAGTGCTCTTTTGGTACTAGAGGCTCAGCGAGGCTATGTGGGACTCATCTGGCCTCACTCTGGTGAAATATTTCCTACATCTTCTTCCTTGCAGCAAGAATTGATTACAAATGAATTGGCATACAAAATCCTGAATGGCAGGCAGAAAATAGCTGCTCTTTATATTCCAGAAACTTCTCAAGTCATTGGTTTGGATGTTGCTAAGCAGCTGGGAATTATAGATAATAACACGGCATCGATTTTAAAAAGTATAATACTGCCTGATAAGATGCCAGATTTGGGAGATTTAGAAGCTTGTAAAAATGCCAGAAGATGGCTCTCTTTTTGTAAATTCCAACCATCCACAGTCCATGATTACAGGCAAGAAGAGGATGTTTTTGATGGAGAAGAGCCAGTGGCAACTCAGAGCTCGGAACAAACTAAAAAATTATTCCTGTCTTATTTGATGATAAATAGCTATATGGATGCAAACACAGGGCAGAGGCTTTTGTTATACGATGGAGACTTGAATGAAGCTGTTGGTATGCTACTGGAAGGCTCTAGTGCCGAGTTTGAGGACACACCCGTAAAAGAATGTCTTGATGTCTTAGGACTCCCTGGTGTATTTCTGAATAATGCTCCAAGTAAAGGAAGGGATGACAGTGTAGCTTCACTGACTAGTTTTGATAAATGTTATTGCAGAGAACCTAAGTGTAAAGAAATCCCTGAGGAGAGAAAGAATGCCATAGATGAAGAGTTTAATGAAATGGGAAATAACATTACCAGTAGTGAATTTCATCAGTCAGAAAACCTGGCAAATATAATAGCAACTGATCATAAAGTTAAGAATTCATCCAGTGTGTGTGTTCCCAATTCTGTATCGTGTTTAACACAGCCTGGACTTGTACCAGTTAGCATGCTTAGACAAGACTCTGAAAACAAAAACTGTGAAAATCAAAGTCAAGTTGGAATAAATGAAGATGCAGGTGAATGTAGTCATTCTAAACATACTCAAAACTTTGCAAGTGACTCGATAACAAATCCTATTATGAAATCAAAAACTAGTGGAACCAGTGATTTGAATGAAAAAGAGAATGAAGATAATATAAGCAGGGATTTGACAACCTTTGACTATTCTCCCAGGCTGAGTGCCTTGCTAAGTCATGATAAACTGAGGAATGATCAGGAAAGTCTTAATGATTTACATACCACAGAGAGCCATGGAAACAAATGTAAAGACTCTACTTTGTCATTCAGTGACCAAACCATGTTATTGGGTCAAAGAATGGGAGAAAAGTTTCAAGACCAGTTTCTGGGAATTGCAGCTATCAATATCAGTTTACAGGGAGAACACTGTCAACAAAATCCTTTAAATATAGGTGACAGTGATCCTCAGGTACCATCTCACAGTGATAAATATAATTCAGATATTTATGGTGAGGATGAAGAACCGCACGCTGCTTCTCAGCAGAAACCTGAAGCCGGGAAAAATGAGTCCCAAGTGGAAGAGTACTCCTGTGCCACAACTCCACAGGGTGACACTGATAATGCCAACCCATCTCGTATCTGTGGTACATCGCTGCTTGAAGAAATTATCTGCGCCGGTGACTATGAGACGTCACTGCTGGATGATCAGCACAGTGTGACAGAAACAGACACAGATAGTGATGATGATTTTTATGATACCCCCTTGTTTGAAGACGACGACCATGATTCTCTGCTTCTTGAAGGTGATGATTGTGATTGTCTACAGCCTGAGGACTATGCCACACTGCAAGAGGAAAATGATGGGGCTGCTCCTCCTGGTGATGTTTTTTATGATGTTTCAAAAGAGATTGAAAATTCTGTGGTGACCCAGGGAGCACTGGTTGATAGCTTAAGTGTGAGGGAGGACACACGGTCTCCTCAGGGTTTTCTCACAGGTCCTGAGAAAGCTGAATTCGATTCTGGTGAAAGAGTACGCTCAAATTCAGCTGACTCAGACAAGGACAATGGACAGTTGCTGGAAACTGTATCAGAAAGTGAAAGCGCAAACAGCCTTGAAGGTGATGAGTGTGACTCATTGGCTGATTATGAAATTGTAGAGGGAAAAAAGAGCTTCAGTGCTTCTCCAACATTTGATGACACTGGGTGTTGGAGAAGGAGACAAGAAGAACATATAGCTGAACAAGAATTTAAATCTGATACTGAGCATTTAGATTCTGTGCAAAGTGAAGACAGTTATGGGTATTATGTATGTGACAGTAATGATCAGGATGATGATGACAATTATGATGATGATGGTGACAGTGAAGAAGGAGTAGAAGGTGAAAATGGAAAGCCCCCATACCAAGATGAGGGTATGAATAGCCAGCTGCGTGCCACCACAGTAAGTGAAAAGGAAAACAGTCGTGAAAATCAAAGTGTTACTAAGGTAATTCTCCCGGATAAAGCGCACAACTACAGTTGTTCAGAAAAACAGCAAAGTGTAAATGTTTTACAACTAGAATCAACTAGTAAAAATAGCTTAGTTACTGAAAGAAGCAACCTTCCAGAATGTACACCCGAGGCTGTTGGAAAAAGCAAAGAAGACCTGTTGAATCATGACATGGCTCTTAAGGATATATTGCTGACTGTCACTAAAGACACTGAATCAGAAAACACCTCTGGCTCTGTAGGTGTTTTAAATAATACTAATACCTGTTCGACTTCTGAAGTAGATAAGGATCCCATGAATGTAAAGTTTCAGTTGATTCAAGAGCCAGAGTCTACTGACACTGTGAAAGGTGGAGATCAGTATTTTGAGAATGTGACAGTTCAAGACTCCTCTCCTTTTGATAAAATCATTTGTCCTGAGCCTGATTTAACAGGAAAACCTGCTGAGGAAAGCCATTTGTCATCCGTAGCCTGTGTAAGTGCCAAAGATCATCAAGTACCTGAAAGAGGCCTAGTTAAAAAGAACAGTGACCAAAATGGTATACTAATAGAAGATGAAACATATGTTCATAAAATGTGCTCAGGTAAAGGAGATGTGCTTAGAGAAGGGCTAGAAGAAGAGAGTAGGTCTCTCAGAC